AAATATTTAAAGCAGAAACATCTTTATCTATTATTTACAAGATCTGAAACCTGGGCCAGTGGGAGTAAAGAAGTCATGGTTTTTCATTAATGTTGGCCTAATATATATATATATACAGGGTGTCCAAAAAGTCTGTAATCATAGGCATTGCAATTAATTTTACAGAATGTGTTCCACTTGCTGTCCTTGTAATTCAAAACAAGTTTGGATTAACTCGACCTTCTTGTGCTTCGACAGTGACATAATCAGTCACATATCTGAAATTATGAAAGGCTACAAATCACCTGTTGTTCCAGACTTTTTATGTGTAAAATTGTTTAAAGCTTTTAGCAATTTTCATTGTTATACATTCTTCTTAGAGCTGGCAGTCAAATTTTACTGGGTTTCTGCTGTAAAAGTAAAAACTCTCATTGCATTAATTCAAATACATTTGTTACTTTATACGTATGTATGATTGTAGTTTTGTGAATTATGTATATATTTGCATATTTATAGTTTTGGTTTGAGGTTCAGAGGTATGTAATTTTAAATGTTCGTGTACATATGCTAGACTACCACAGTTCAGAATTTTCAGGAACTTGTGTTGTTCCCTAGAAATCTACTTGGAGTGTTTTTCTAGCAATAGAGTGAATGGTGTGAGGAAAATATTTCCTTGTTCAACAGGCAAAGAATAAAAGGAAAAATTGTTTTCCCAGTTTTGGGGTGATATGATATCCATACTCCTGACACCCAACCGCCTCTTATTATCCAGTTATCGAAATGGCACTCATACTTTAACAGAAATACTGCCATATTCTGTCATGACTTGCAAACTGTTCAACAAAACTTCCTTGGAGAATACTGCCATATTGTGTCATGACTTGCAAACTGTTCAACAAAACTTCCTTGGAGAATACTGCCATATTGTGTCATGACTTGCCAACTATTCAACAAAACTTCCTTGGAGAATACTGCCATATTGTGTCATAACTTGCAAACTGTTCAACAAAACTTCATTGGAGGATACTGCCATATTGTGTCATAACTTGCAAACTGTTCAACAAAACTTCATTGGAGGATACTGCCATATTGTGTCATGACTTGCAAACTGTTCAACAAAACTTCCTTGGAGGATACTGCCGTATTGTGTCATGACTTACAAACTGTTCAACAAAAATTCCTTGGAGAATAGTCACTAATTCTAGTTGCATCAACTTTCTGAAAATTATGAAAATCTGGACTTCTCAGGAAAAATTAATATCCCAAAAGGCAAGAGGGTTTCTTATCATCGCAGTTGTGGTGCCCTCTGCTGTCAACATATAACATTGTCTGGAGTGAGGAGTGGTTCCCATATGGCTACTCTGTCATTGTAGCTGATGCTATGAAGATACTTTTTCATGGTATTGGAGCTCACTTGTTCCTGTCACAGAACAGTAGTGTTTGTTTAACATGGATCATTCTGCACACTTCTTTACACAGCACAAAGATAGTCCATTCTGTTGGTGCTTGTTTCTTGTACCAGGTTATGTGAAAACTATTGTTAAGATAATCCATTTTGTTGGTGCTTGTTTCTTGTACCAGGTTATATAGAAACTGTTGTTTATCAATATGACTAGAACTGCATTGTCGCTGCTGTATTGTTACTGTATTTGTTTTTTTCTCCACAAATTTACATTTAAATAGATTCCATCTAAGATTTGGATATGCTGTGTAAAATGTATTCTCTTTTTTAATTTTTGTTTTCCTAAATAACATATATATATATATATATATACATATTAGTATTTCCTATTTTAATTAGGTTTACCAACGAGCAGTATTTGAATCGCATCCTCATGTCATATTCTGTGGGGGCTTTTTGCCACATTAGACAGAGAGTAGGAAGTTCTACATCATATGAAGGGGCTCAAGTGGCCCTATCAATGGTGGAGTATGAGCGAGAACGTAAGTTGACTGAGGACTTTAATTTTATTTTGTGTTTTCAAAAAATACTTTGCATAACATGTGTTTGGTGAAAAGCATGATACAATAATTAAAAACATGTTTTCTGTATCATTTGCAACAGTTTTATATATATATGTGTGTGTGTATATATATATATATATATGTGTGTATGTGTCAAATAATTTATTTAAAAAATTGTTTCTTTGATCTTTAAATAGCCTTTTTTATTTTACTTTTCATAACATTTTGTAGTAGTTTCCAGTAATTTATTTTTTTTACGATTGAGAGATAGCATTTTATTGAGAAATTAAGCTTTTTGATAAATTCAGTTGTAACAAGCCATCAGCAGAACAACTTGTTGAAGTGTCATTTCTTCTCTGTATATACTTTATGTTAAAATAAAAACAATATCAGCCAGTGCTTACTTTCATTCTCACATCACTAATATCTTGCTTATGTGAAGGTTCAAAGACTTGTGTTTGTACTCATTGACTTAGACACTTCGTCTACAGTACATAATATGTAATCACAATTCTATTAAGTTCAAACTGAATAATTCTCTCAAAAATCTGATTAACTTCAGTAGTTAAATACGCATACTTATATTGTCTAAACTTTTATAGTGTATTTGCTATTTACTTAGTGTCCTTCAAGTTCTTGATTTTATAATTCAACTTATTTTCCCCCTCCTTTTCCATCAACTTCCTAAATTTATGGTTCCGTTCTTTAACTTTTCATTTATGATTTCTCACACCATTGTTAGGACATCTCAGGTGCTGTTTTTCAAGCTTGTTTTTATTTTAAAATCTTGGTTCCATTGTTAAGTAATTTACTTACAACTCACATACTTATAAAGAAATAAACCTGAGTGATTCAAACAACATAAATAAATGGAATTTCTACTAGCTTGTTTTATTTTAAAATCTTGGTTCCATTGTTAAGTAATTTACTTACAACTCACATACTTATAAAGAAATAAGCCTGAGTGATTCAAACAACATAAATAAATGGAATTTCTACTATCGAACAAAATAAATTGCCAAAGTTTTTCTCCTATGTTTCCAACATATTTGATCAGGTTATTTGTTTAACTAGAGTCGTGAACATATTATCTTACTAGTAACTCCCTTAATTTGGGTATTGATATTTTTAAATTCTGACCCTACACTTTTAACATTCTTAACTGAACTAGCATATTTTTGCACCCCAGAAAATTTATGCAGTTAATCAAAATTTAATAATAAAAAAATATATCAGTGATGCCATTGGCTGAACATATTCACTTATCATCTGTTTGAAAATTCTAGAATATTAGATATTAGTAGCTGCATTTGAATAATTTCCTTTAGTATCATAAAACGAAAGTGCTTAAACAAAACCATCTGTTCAGAATTGCATACCTTCCATATCTTGTAAAATAGTGTTAAGTAAAAAGTTAAAATCGATACATTTTGTAGCTTTATTATACTTCTGTAGACGTGCATATAAGATTATTAAGCCTAATTCTTGTTACCTCTCCTCCTAGATGACAACTGTCCAATGTATTTCGATGATGGTAGTGACCCGTACAGAGAAATTGCAGAACAGGTGACGATACTGCATAGTGGTATATGGCATCCTGCCTGGTCTCCTTTGAATGTAACACTTCTAATGATTGTACTCCTTATTATGAATCTCTGAATATATTGTACCTCAAAGGAAATGCTTAGATATATTTTTTACCACCGTCAGAGTTACACAGTGAATATGATGTGTAGCTTATGGAGTTTAAAAAGCAGCATGCATAAGTTTATATATACATTATTCCATCCTTAAAGAAACTAGCCTTGTTTCAAGAGATATAATTCACTCTAGCATAGGAAGATTCTTAAAATCTATTATAATTAAAATGCAGAGTGGGTTCATAAACTATATTTTTCAGGATGTTTAATTTGTGGGATTTAGCTGTTGCTATGCCTAGAAAGCACCTGTCTATATTTTAACATAATCTTGGGTTTATTACTTGTTCTGAATATTTATCATCTGTAATTAAATCAGTTTTTATATAGCTTGGTTTACGGTGGAATTATTAATGTGAAATAATATTAATATTCAAACATGGAAAAGTATTGAATTTTATAAATTTGTTTTATGTAAGAAAATGTCATTATAATCTAGGAGTTTGAATCTCGTTTATAATAGCTGCAAAGTGATGTAATCAAAGAAAGTAGTTATGTTTTTAATCTTCTGTTTTTATAAACACTATAATATAATAGCTGCAAAGTGATGTAATCAAAGAAAGTAGTTATGTTTTTAACCTTCTGTTTTTACAAACACTATAATATAATAGCTGCAGAGTAATGTAATCAAAGAAAGTAGTTATGTTTTTAATCTTCTGGTTTTATAAACACTATACTATAATAGCTGCAAAGTGATGTAATCAAAGAAAGTAGTTATGTTTTTAATCTTCTGTTTTTATAAACACTATACTAATTTTTATTAATTTTACATTCTTACATGCTCACGTACTGATGTGTAATTTTGTAGAAAATGTTCATATTTTGATTAGTAGACGTGACCCAAAAAGGATGTTTGTGTCAGCCAGTAATAAACTTGTAGAAATAAGTAACTCTGAATGTAAAACAGTTATAGTTATTAGCTTTTTCTTCCTTATGCAACACGTGAACTAGATAATTCCATTTTATGAAACTAATAAACACTGTATGTGAGTGTAAACAGTTAAAAAGACTTTGTACCAGTTGTTTCTGACCTACATATGTGTATATTAGGAATTTATGTGACTTGTCGGTTTAAAGCCTGATGAATGTCTAAAAACTTGTGTAAAATAATGTTTTTAGCAACAAAATAGTATAGTTTTTGTGAACAAAAGTATGTTATCGGTCTTTTCTTGAAAGTGTTTATAAAAGATAAGTAATCTATGGATACATATTCTCCATGTTCTGCATTTTTGTAGCACATTTCATGTATTTTAGTAATATTAAAAACGACAAAATAGCAGAACATTACTTAAATATATAGCTAGATCTACTTACTGTTGTAAATTTGAGATCCAAAATGACAATAAGGACTTACCCTCTGAAGCCTTTTCTCATTATTAACCAGCCAGATTGATATCACTTATCAAATTAAGTGAATCTAGTATTATTAGAAACCAGTTCTTATCATATTGATGGATAAAATAGTTGTAAGAATCTCCTAAGCTAAGAATGTTTATGATATTATATATATGAAACCCATTCTTATTTTTCTTAATATTAAACTGTTTTTGTTTCGTTTTTCTGTTCACTTGGTGTATTATTTTCATGTGTATGTTTCATGATGCTACTGTAGTAATGTTTGAGATGACTTAAGTGCATAATAAAATTACATATTATTATTTTTAATCATTTATTATCCATCGTAAATTATCAAAAGCATTTATTAACATATGCAATATTTGATAAATCCAGTAAAACTTTGTTCAACAATATAATCTTTCTAATCCAAAATACAAATATAAAAATACTCACAAATAGCTAATTAGAAATGGTTTTATAAACAAGTAAGAAGAACAAAACACAGCTGTATTTATTTACCATACTCTCTGATTTATCCAGAGTACTCTTTATCACATATGAATTTCTTTTTATTATAATTCAAAAGCAGTAGTATTTTTTTCTCTTTGGTTCTTTTATCAAGTGTTGTTAGCATCATTCTCTAAAACATTCCTAAATGATTTTATAAATTACTTAAACAGTTGGTATGTGAAACTAGATTTTATTAATATATAAAAAAAGGAGGAAAAATCAGTTTTTATTTGAAAATTGTAAGTTTACTTTATGCTTACTGTTGATTCTGGTTTTGTTTTTGGAGGATTTATGCAATGTATTGTCTGTCTCCTGATGACTATGTACTTTATTTAATGTTATGTTGAAAGATAGTCTGATTAATGTGAGTTTTGTTTTTTATGTTTAGTTTTGTCCATTTTATTTTACCTCTGTGATTTATCTTAAATGTAGCATTTTGATAGGTTGCATGAATGCATCAAAGTTTACTTTAAAATTTTGAGTATAATGCTTTTAAATTAAAGTAATTGTCAAACATATCTATTTCTTCAAAACCTACACATTAATGTTTAAGAAGATCAGTGTTATTTTTTGTAGGCTGAATTTATATTTGACTTTTCATCATGTATTTATTCTGTTACTATAAATAAGGCTCATGGAATCTTAAGTTTGGATAAAATGCAAGATTACAATCACAGTAATTGATACAGTATTGATCTATTGCCACAGCAAGCAAGTTCGATTCCCTGTAGGCCTATTACATAAATCACAAGTTCTGAAAATACAAATGTATATATATATGACAAAATTTATCAACCTGAACATGAAATACAAAACTTCTAACAAACTGTACTGAACAGCTAGAAAGCTTCTAATTACTAGTTTTGGTTTTTTAATATACTTTCATTTTCATTATCTTATTTTTCCCCCAGTTCGCAGACTTACAAAACTGTAATCCAGGGTTCGATTCTCTATTGTGTAACTTTTTGCTAAAATGAACACAGTTATTACTCTTTTTTTTCTAAGTTATGAGCTATTGTATGTAATATGTTTTCATTAATTGCAAAAAACGTTTAGAAAACACAACATATAAAGGTTTTAAGGTAAAATACCACATATTGATTATTAACTATTCTATCTATAATTTTCGGTATGTTGTAAAACAACATTCTAAATCTATTAAGTGAATTTATTTCAAATGATAAGGTAACATTTTTTAAGATAGAGTAAGATTGATTTAGTTATGTGAAGTTAACGTATATTTTATAGTCGTTAAAAGTTAGTCTGTTAATGAGTGTTTAAATTCAATATTTTGACATAGAATTATTTAATTTCAAATTTATTATTTATTTACATGTACGTATATTGATGTTCCTTGCAAATTTTGGAAATGATAAAGCTCGACTCATCACCACTCAAAAATATATTGTCTAGTAGTTGGGATGATTTTAAATGCTACGTTGAATTAAGATTATCCAGGAAACAAGCTGTGAATTTTCATCTTAATCGCTAATGTGTTTGTCATAATCAGATTAGCTGTCCAACATTTTAATTGTGTCTTCGGCGAAAAGTCAAGTGGTGTAAACTAGAATCTCCATGTGACGACATTTAACGATAGTTACCAGCAGATGTCTGAATTTAAACGTATGCAAACTATTTTCAAGAGTAAGATTTGATTTTGAACAAAATTAAACATTTTCATGCATATAATCACATGTATTTCTTCTAGAACTTAAAATTTAAGAAATTAACTTTTTGGAGGAGCTAGCTTATTTATAATTAATCTGAGGACAAGTTATTAATCCAAGTAACTATACACGTACAAGAGACATACTCACTGCTATGAATATAAACATTTTCTGTAAAAGGGGAAGAAATTATGTACATAAGATATCATGATCACCATAAGGTTATAGAATTCTCACGAAAAACGTGGAAGATTAAAATCTGTGAAAATACTTCAAAAATTATTTTTAGAAATCGCATAACATCTGAATTACTCTTTACTTAAAGAATAGTTAACGAGGTGCCAGAAAGTATAAATTAGACACAAGTTGTCTACAACCACCATTAGACCTGTGGTAGTTTGGTTGAATTGTGATGTTAACTGTACATCGTCTTTTCCACCCACTATAAGGAAAGAAATATTTGTCATAAGACTGATATCAATTAATAAATATTTTGATATAAAAAGACTCCAAATTTGGATTTTTGTGTAAGAGTGTACTCATACATAAAACCTATTGTTAAACTTTTTCTCATCATTTTCCTTTTGCGTTTATGTAAACTTAATTATCATACTACTGTTTAACATATTAGTACAAGCTGCAGTCTTGTATTTCTTTAATGGTAACCATCGTTACAGCCTCCCAGTGATCATTTGAAAGGTAACTCGAAGATCAACAATACAATACAACATTCTGCTTTAAACAAATAAATTGACGGTACAACCCAAACGTGATATATGTATGTAAATATATAATATTTATATATATACACATTTCAGTTATTTATTTACTATAAATAGAAGAAAAGGTTTAACTACAAGTAGATGTCTTCGTCTAGATTGGCAATATTATGTCACTTAATAAATCTCATTTCAAAATCATGCTCTATAGCATAAAAATCTGAAAGGACTTTTTATTTATAATATCTGGACAAATCCATCTGTTAATCTGATGTTTGTTTAAATATTTTTATTAAATACACTTACCTCTTCTAAAGTAAACTTAGCACACCCTATGCGTTTTGGATCTCGTTCAAGAAAAGATTCTGTCAACAGTTACAAAAGGTTAAAGTTGCATAAGAAAAAGCTTTTTCTTAAAGTTGGCCTAATGTATTTAACATGTTAACAGTTTTTACGGAGTTTTCAAGCCAGCCCTAGTGATTTTCTAACGATGTTTTGGCTGTATGCTGAGTCCTCTTCATATCTGACAAAAGAGGACCCAGCTTTTAGCCCATAACTTCGTCTGAAAACCAAGAGAAGAAGGGTGAGATTTTATTTTTTTTTCTGTTCGTGTTAAATGATATCGAAATTATGAAATATAACAAAATGTAAATTACTTTCAAGAACAAATAAGTAGGCATTCGAAGACACGGTGGATGCTAAAATATAATTTACACTTAAGCTAAGTACGACAAAAAGGACTTATTTTGTGTCATTTTATTAGTTTTACATTTTCAATTTTTGTAGTAGGTCAACGATAAATTACAAGTGCGATAAACTCAATATGTGACTACTGAGAAAAGAACATCTTCAAACAAAATCACCAAATATGACAAAAAATCTTGCAAAACAATTATAATTGGACATAATAAATAAATCGAACAAGAGTTAGAAAACGAAAATAATGATTTTTCATGGACATTCTATATTCACCTGAGCAGTAAACAGTTGAGAATAATAATACAATTTTTTAACAATCTTCTACTGAACTATCAATTAATATGCTGATCAGAAATAACGTGTTTGATTAGGAAAAAATTAAAAAAAAGGCCGCCATTATAGTGAAGTATCTGATTAATTAAAACACGGTGCATATATTAGGCATAATCATGATGAAATTAAAATATTAAATTGTTCCTATGTATGTTGGTAGTTAAACAACCCATATTTTCAAAAAGTGAGTATTAAATAATTAACGATAAAGAACTGGACTCTTACCTATCATGCTCTTTAATTTCACTGTGCACATGAGGAAGTCTTCAAAATTCATCTGCTCCTTCTTCCCATATCTTAAGACCAAGGTCCGTAAAATGTTGCTGTTAACACGATATCCTATTAATGAAAATAACAATGATAAAAGTTTTCTCTGATCTTGAACTGGCATTTGTAATCAATTTAAACACTGTAATCTCATATTTTTTCTTTTTAATGTCATTTAAAAACTACAAGTGCTGGTCAGGTTTACATAACGTTCAACACTACCGTTAGCATAGTAATGCCATAAAAACGTCGACACGAAAGCATTTTAATCAATCATGGTGCCCTTCCAAACTCTGAGAATCAATTCTTTATTTTTGCTGCCTGCGCCATCTTTCCCAATTTAAGCTTTTCAACTCCAGTCCATCACTAAGGTTATCGACCTGAGTGGGTCCTCTGCCTACCGCTCGCTTTTCTTCCTGCGAAACTTACTTCCCTCAGATCTAATTATATATCCAATGTAGCGCATGTTCCTTTTCTGTCCAGCACTTGTCGTTTCATTCTAATACTTCCCTCATTTTTTTCCTGTGTAACTGATCTTCATCATTCGTCCGTAACACTACATTCCAAATATTTCCAACTGTCGCTTTGTACCAAATGACATGGTCCACGTTTATAGGAGTACGGGGGGTCAGCTCCCCTAGCTTGCAATACATACGGCTATTCGGGCAAAATTAGAATTAGATATTCACACCATCATAACGTAAATCAACATTCATAATGCAATGTTAAGGTTCCAAATATATTTGTGGCCTGGCATGGCCAGGTGGTTAGAGCGCTCAACTCGCAATCTAAGGGTCCTGCATTCGAATCCCCGTCCCACCAAACGTGCTCGCCCTTTCAGCCGTGAATGGCGTTGTAATGTGACGGTCATTGTTAAAAGTGTAGCCCAATAATTGGCGGTGGGTCGTGATGACTAGCTGCATTCCCTCTAGTCTTTCACTGTTAAATTAGGGACGGCTTGTGCAGATGGCCCTCGTGTAGCTTTGCGCGAAATTTAAACCAAAACCAAATGTATTTTAGAGTGGTCAAATTAAACGGTTTCCTGGTAATTAGCCCCGTATCGGGTACTTGTCCCCTAAATTTTAGCTTTCTCACTCATAACCTCATTCGGGCAAAAATAGTACAGCCTGTCTCTGAAAAACCACCCGTACACCTATGATTCTTGTCCCTAGACACGCACAGACCATACGTAACTTTTTTGCAGTATTTTCATCATTTCTTGTTTGTCATCTATCTGAAATTAAAAACTGCTGATTAACCATTCTTAATCTTGTCATCACTATTGGTATTCATCCCTAAGTAAGTAAACTCCTTTACTCCTTCCAAATCTACCTTTTACTTTGATGCGTATTCTGGGAGCTTTCTCAGATCGTGAAATTACCATTGTCTTAGTTTTTTCAACATTCATTCCGAGCCCATTCTACTTACCACTCGATCCCTTCTGTGTCACTAATTACCTTTCCCATCAAACACTTTGCATGTAAATTATATGATATTAGTAACAGAGTATATCATTGTGGTACATCTCTCCAACGTTTTAACTCTCCTTAAATTCGAACTGCTTCTTCCTGACTCCAGTATAAATTCTTTGGGTTTCTGTTTGATGTGTTTCAATATATTGCAGGATTTCCAAACATATTAATGTCACATCATATAGTTTAGAATATTTCTGAGCTATAACTTCTATAAAGGGTCAGTCGAAAGTGATACTTTTAAAATTTTATTTATGTGCTCATAAGTGCTTTGGGATTTGATGTTTCATTTTACCAGTGTTGAATGCTATAACGCTCTTTGATCATGTCACTAACTTTCTCAAGTGATCTGTAACAAGACATTTGTTGTTTTATAGAGGTTCAATTTGTTGAAGTACATTTTGTTTGTACCACTGGTTTATTAGAATTATTTTATTATGGTTTTAACTATAAATACAATATCTTTATTGTAATTCTATTTTTCAATAACATCCATAATAAGTAGTGTACATTTTTACAGAAAGCGTCTACATTTCTTTGATATCATATGCAATAAAAATTGTAATTTGGATTTCCTAGTTAACGTTGGTGTGGATTGTTTTTCAACTGGTTTCATTTATTTTAGGTGTGGCAGATAACTTGTAGATTTTGTTTTCAAGAAATTTGATAAATTATTGGAATTTGATAACAATTACTGTCTCTCGAATTTCAAGCTAATAAACGTCTCTAAATTTCATAGAACTACTTCCTGGTGTTTTGCTTCTTCATGGGTATTACAACAGGTAATGTGTCTCAATACAACTGTAATCCCATCTAGGCTTAATATCAGTTTCACTCTAGTTATAAACGTTACTAAGTGTCCAAATGGAAATAAGAAAAGAGCCCGTGAGCACAGCTAAATTTAAAGCCGAGAGTGATAACATCTAAGTACTAAAAATAACTTTATCATAAATATTTCAATACTTTTATTTCGTTACTCCTTATTTTGAATGTTTACTATATTACTTATAAATCCTAACTCTTTAATATTTCTCAGTTTTAAGTTAACTTTCTTTATCATGTATTTAATATATAACATTAATTTTTTTAAACAGTAATAACTACATTGGCCGTGTGAGATACGTATAGTACATAAAGCTTTAATTGTGACATTTCTGTGCTAAGTAAATCGCTTAGCAGAACAAACCTTTCAGGTATTCTTGGGACAAAGGCCGAAAACGCCGCTAAAAGAGAGGTTACCTGATGACCTTAAGTAGATTGGTCATAAAGGCTGTTTTGGGATTTTCCTGCCACACATAATTATTAACTGTACTTTTTATTGGATATTTTTAGCAACTCTACCGGTAGAAGCTATTACATAATAAAAGCTATAAGAATACTCTAATACTTTAAACAGTACGTCAGACAATGACATAAATATATATATAAGCTAAAGTTAGGACTTTTAATTATTAAAAGGAATAATCTGTAAATGCTTGGATCTTTAAACAACTTATATATTTTAAACCATAACAAAAATATCAATTCATAAAAGATATAACATGCTAATGCACTTTAACAAAATTTAAGTTAGAACCGTCTGAGAAACATGACTCACCTGCTGAATTCAAAGCCATTCTGAGCTCCAACGTACTGAGAAATCCTGATTCATCTTTATCATAGACTTTGAACGCATTCTATACAAACATATATACATACACATTCAAAAGTTGCAATCGAAAGCAAATAACATTAAAAAAGAAATGATAGATTAATCTTAGGGTGTTTCTGAAAATTTACTTTTAGAAATTTAGAAGGTTAATAAGTGTGTTTTCTCGGTAACCCTACTAGTACTACTAGCTTCGGGCTTTTTATCAACTATCGGCTAAATGGCGACTTTAAAATCAAATCTATATGATAACAAGATTGCAAATTGAAAGAACAGCTACATGTTCTCATAGATAAAACTAAATTATAATAGACACAAAAAAAAATTCAATGTATAAAATTTGGTCTTTAATCTCACAAAGAATCCCAAAGTGTTTTGTTTTTAAATTTCATCGCACAGTAAGGTTAATTATGCAAACTACGCTGTTATTGCTCAGATTATAAAAAATTATCACTGTAATGTTCTACTTGTGGCCATTACTTGGTGTTTCAACAGTGCAGTGGAACGTTTAACCATTTTGTTTCGTACTATGTTCCAAACTTTCTAACCTTCCACATCCTGATGTCAACCCAGAGCTTAAGAAATTCTTCCATTTTGAGTTTTCCTGATCGATCTTCCTGGCACCAGTTAAAGAATATTTATCAATATTATAACAATATTCCCAGTACAAGTTTTAAGAGGACACTTAAAAATAATAGCAATTAATGTTATTAAAAAAAATGTCTTTTTGAAGTCGAACTGCCTGGATTAAACCAATAAGTAAAGGGTTGGCTGGAAAAGGGTATGCCGAAATGACATATCTAATTGTTATAAATATTCTTAAAAAAATAAACCCCCTAACATGTATCATTATTCAATTTGCACTCAAAAGAGCGAATCACCTCAGATTTCACATCAGTTGTTTATGTTCACCAATGAAGATCAATGTTCTCCACGTGAAACACCACATTTAATATAATTTCGGTATACCTTTTTTGGAATACCCTGTAACATTTACAAACATAACGGGGCTGAAATTTTAGAAAATTACAAGAGAGCCAGATTTATTTATATTTTTTTTTTAGAATTTCACCCCTGAAAGCAACATTTACTACCGTTTGTAGTTTAGTATAATGAATACTTATAACGAAACTTTCACACTCTGAAAGCATTGCTGAATAAACTGATAACTAAAGCTTTAGTGTTAATTATATGTGAATGTATGTTTCGTATAAATTCTTAGGCACTTTAATGTCTCTTCTATTTCCGACTTTTATCATTTACATTTAAAATCTAATATGGAATAAATTTACTGTTTTACGTTATCTGTGGGTTGAGCACATTTTTGATCCAAGTTTGATAGATAATGTTTATATTAGTATGACTTTGTTTGTTAATATAATAAGGGCCTGGCATGGTGGTTAGGGCACTCGACTCGCAATCTGAGGGTCGCGGGTTCAAATCCCCATCCCACCAAACATGCTCGTCCTTTCAGCCGTGGCGGTGTTGTAATTTTACGGTGAATCCCACTATTTGTTGGTAAAAGAGTTGGCGTGGTGATGACTAGCCGCCTTCCCTCTAGTCTTACACTGCTAAATTAGGGACAGCGCTGCTAGCGCAGATAGCCCTCGTGTATCTTTGTGCGAAATTCAAATTAAACAGATATAATATAGTGTAACTTTTTTCTTGTCTTATGATGCCTGGTGGTTAGGGCGTTCGACTGGCAATCCGTGGGACAAGGGTTTTATTCCAATCACCGAACATGCTTGCCCTTTCAGCCGTGGGTGTGTTATATTGTGGCGGTCAGCCTCACCGTTCGTGTTGTTGACTAGCTGCCTTCCGTCTAGTCTATCACTTCTAAATTATGGACTTTTATGCGAAGTGGGGATGGACGCCACCAGGTAAAATCTACCCAAGAATCGCCTATGATGCATAAGCATCTCAGGTGCTCCAACAGTTTTGAGCAGTCTCGGGACTGATTTTGATCTTGGACAAGTATGGGGGACTATAAGATTGCTAAAAACAGAAATGTTTGGAATGAGTTAGAGTAAACTGTTGCCATAACTCGTAACTGACTTCAGGTACTATACGAGGTAACGCGCATGTTTTTCCAGATGCATTTCGCTGGAAACCAAGATATATTTGTTTGGTAAATTGTTCGTTGTTTTATTCGTCATTATCTTGTCCTCGAATAAATAAGTTTGATAAATAAGGTCCTTTATAAAACAATGCCAGGGATATTTATTGTGGAACCTTCAAATTTAGAAGGTCATGCTGAATGAAATGCAAGAAGCAAAGCAAATATTACCAACTGTACAACTGAATACGAAATATCTATGTCGAATAAACTGGCTATTAGGGAATTTAAGTCTTTACTAAGTTTAAAACAGTACAAATAAATAAGACTTTCTATATTTCTCAGTTGATTCTCTCAACTTCATCCACACTCATAGAACAGGATTAACGAAAATTTGTTTTAAATTTGTAAATGATTTCTAGATACTTAAATGTAGAAACAGGTAAGGATAAATAGATAGCCAGTCTCAACATATCTTAGTTTATAAAGGATACATCCATCATGGCAATCATGCTACGACAAACGTCCAGCGAAAGCTCATCAATGTGAAACTCTAGAAAATTTAGAAAATACTGTCAGATCATAATCTAAATAATCACCGATATGTATTGCTTGAATTGAATATATAAACAAACATACTTTGGAGAAGTTGCTAGGAAAGTTTGAGATAAAAAGCAAGTGCTTTGATTGAAAAACTTTTTTTCAATATTACTCGAATTCTAAATACTTAACTAATGATATAACGGTAGAACACTTTCAATCAGAAACACAGAAAATTTATAGAAATAAATAAATAAGTATTATTCTTGTGATTTTTCTTACCTTGCTTTAAACCAATGTTTAGTACTTCTTGAAGTTCATAACAGTCAACTTCTAAATCTTGACCTGATATGCTAGCAAAGACATTTTTTATTTGTTGGTCCTTGTTTTCTTCTACTTCATTCTGTTCAACTTGCACCTATAATACAGAATAATTCAATAAAATTAAATACATTAGAACTCCAAACGTTAGAAACAACTGTTTTTTTTACAGTTATATATCAAAAAACACACTCTTTTCAATTTATATGTTTATTTGATTTATGGCAAGTTGTATTATAATTATTTGGATATAAAATAACATTTCAGCGAAAGAATCCTGAGAATAGACTCATCTTTTAAGCACAATTTAAAATTAATTATCTGGTATTAGACTTAGAAACAGGAAATTCGTATTCAAATCTATATTACATAACTAATGTTTTAATAAAACCAAAATATTTCTCAGCAAACTCATAAATAAGATATTAGATGAAGATAATCATTTATTTAAATAAAGATTTTTTTTTTTTCGTAACCATGCATGTGAGTGAGTGTATATATAAAAACATTGGTCAGGAACCTTTTTTTACGAATTAGGTCGTTCTATCTTAATAAAAATGCATCATCTGTTCACTGTCGAATTTATCACTGTGTCAAATTTCACTAGAAAATTAATCATAGTAAAAATCCATGTTCCTTTCATTGTCGAACTTATCATTGTGTCAAATTTCACAAGTTCGACAGTGAATGGAACATGCATTTTTACTATGATTAATTTTCTCGTCATTGTGTCAGATTTCACTAGATTTTTTGTACATTTACGGATAAAATAATATTTACATCCCGGTATCCATTCATATTATAGTCATTCCAGTTTTGTTTTTACGCGTATTATCAATGAATGTAAACTGAGACTATTATCTGAGGTTTGGAAATGTTCAGATTAACGTAACTGTTTGTTACAGGTATAATATACATGCATTATTTCAGTGTCTTTTTAATAATTGTAAAAACTTTGCCAAATTATAAAAAAAGCAATGTAAATTCATTTTGAATGTACAAAATCCTTATAATGAGTAATGATACACACTAGAGAAATGGGTTATTTTTCGCATGGGGCGTAATGTTGTATTTTTAATACAATTCTTAATAAGCAATTTATTGAAAGTTAAGATCGGAATTTAAGCATGGAAAACTTTACTCTGCTGCTAAATATCGCAAATTCTAGATATCTTTTATTAACAAATATTTTTAAAAATTACCAGAGTATAGTCCTTAACATAACCAATCTGATCATAACTCTTCGACAGCTTGAATAATGTTGAAATATTTTCCTCATAAAACAATTAACATTTTAACTTGATCAAACAAAGCTTTAACTAATTCTACTTTAGATACTTAAGAAAGACCTTTACTCTCGTTTACTATATTTTATATACGTTTCGAACACGAACAATTAAGATTTTCAATGACAAAATACTCACCTCTTCATCGGGAGTTTTAAGACCAACATCTTCATCATATTCACTGGAAAACATTTAAAATTATGTTAATAGAAAATTCCTAGTTGTGAAAACATCAAACATGAAACCATGTTCTCAAGAGAAGTACATACATCCTCATATGTTGACTGGCATACGTCACTGTGTGCTCGTGATCAGACAGATGAAGAGAATATATTAAGCAGTTTCAATGTCAATCATTGTTAAACCAATAGGGTAGTCTCATCTGGCTGTGTGATCTATATGATTGGCCAATAACAATAAATATATCCAAATAACGCTTTTAGCTGGCAGAGGCGCTGTGATTGTTACCCATCCCTGATAATAGCGCATATAATGTCTTCTCGTCCCTCAACGGAATGGAAAGCAAAAACAAAACAAAAAAAAACTTCGACTGAGTTAGGTTTAAAACTGTGAAATATTTAATTTAGTTGTCTGTTTAATATATATATATATATTGTTTTAATGGTGTTAAATGTATCTTTTCATTTTTAGTAAACTATATTATAAATTATACAAATGAGCAAAACCTTTTGATGTATGCAAATACGAGTACCGTCACTTTTTGGTTACATTTTCACCCTGGCTGAGCCTATTATTCCGAAATAGATAAAGATGAAAGTGGACACATCGTACTACTTAGGATATATTTTCTTTAGTATTAACAAGTAGAGAATAACTTCTAACTTTGATTCTTACACTGTATCGACTAAAACA